AAGCACGCGGTTAGTAAATCGAATGCAGCGTATCTACAAACGCTGCGCCGGTTCTGCCTACGTTCTCTGCAGAACCCGTCGGCGCTTCGGTAGTAGTCCCGAGTGGCCTCGCTCAGGGGCTCACTAGGCCTGCCTGACTCAGGCACTCGCGACTGCATGTGCTACAGCACCATTCGCTCGATGTCGATGGAGTACAACCCATCGGTGCTTGCCGCTTCCGCAATTGCCGCTTCTTCTCTGCATGTATGAGGTCATTTTTATGCACTTCAGCAACTGCCTACATGATTAGATCGCGCCATGCACGCCGATCAACTGCCTTTGATTCTAATGACCTGCAATCAAGATCAGAACGTGAGAGGCTCACTTTGATCATGTCCTGGTAACGTAACTTTGGTTTCCCCACATGCCGCTTCCTAATACTCAGTTGACCGTATAAGAGTTGTTTCAGTATCCGCGTTGAATCCATACGACACACATGACCGAGCCACCTCAGGTGTCTTAGTAAAAGTATGCAGTCCACTGCATACATTCCACTTTGTCGCAACACTTCTGTGTCAGCAACTCTGTCCCCCTAACCGATGCGCAAAATTCGTCGCAGACGCTGCTGATGGAACCACTCGAGATATCGCACATCGCGCAGATACATCGTGCACGTTTTACTGCCGTATAGAAGAACGGACAGCACAATGGATTTGTACACCATTAGCTTCGTGCCAATGGTAAGCTGATGGTTGTTCCACACTCGGTACTCTAGCTTCCCGAATGCCGCTGCTGCCTTCGACACGCGATTACGCAACTCAACATGTAGCTGTTGATCAGTTGACATCACACTCCCAAGGTTGCAGAAGCGGGAGGTGGTTTCCAATACTTCAGCACCAATGCTGATTCGCGGCAATATTGAAGATGGCACCTCCGGTGAAGGCTGAATGAGACAGACAGTTTTGCTTGTGTTGATGCTGAGTCCGAATTTGGTCCCTGTCGAAAGTAGAGCACTAGTCATGTGCTGCAACTCATCCGCGCTGTGTGCAAACAACGCACAGTCGTCAGCAAACAGCAACAGACGGATAGTTGTCGCACAGACTAGAGTTCTCGCACCGAAACGACAGATGTTCAGCAACCCACCATCAATACGGTGCTACACACGAACACCGTAAGCACAAAGCGCATCAAACACAAGACATCATTGCATGAAGATAGATATTCGACAGGACGGGAGCTAAGACACAGCCTTACTTCACACCAGTGACAACTTCAAAGTCATCCGAGGTCTGTCCACTCAGCTGCACCCTCGCTCGCATACCACTGTGCAGACATTCAATTAAACTTACAAACTTACGCGGGCAACCAAACTTACCCAACACCAGCCACAGTGCCTCGCGCTTCACCGTATCAAATGCCTTGGTGAAATCAACAAAAAGCGAGTACAATGGCTGGTGTCGTTCTCTGCACTTCTCCTGCAACTGACGAACCGCAAACACCATAACTATAGTGCTGCCACCCGAACGGAATCCACACTACTCCTCCGCGACGTTCGGTTCCACAACCTGACTGACGAGGCGGTGGAGCAGGATTCGGGCAATCACCTTGCCCACACAACTCCTCAAGTTGATGCCACGATAATTCGTGCAACATAGCTTGATCTCTTCGCCCCTGTACAGTGGTTGCACGAGGGCATCCTTCAGCTCAGGAGGCACCTCCTCCTCAATCCATACGTGCTAAACCAAGTAGTGCAGCGCATTCACCAACGCGGAGCCGCCGTGTTTCAATATTTCAGGCGGGATCCTCTCGGCACCGGCACACTTGCCGTTTCGCACCTGAGCAAGTGATCCCTGCGTCTCATCCAGTGTCGGCGTGTCCGCCAGAACTGCATTCACATCGTGCTGATTGAGGCCATTCAAAGTAGGCCAGTCGATTTCCGAACGGTTGTTCAAGAGACAGTCAAAGTGATTTCGCCAGATTTGCATTATGTCTGCAGTCTGTGTGCAGGTAGCGCCTGAACTACCATCGATCAGCGTCCTCAGCGGATCCCATCTCGGTCCATACACCACCTTCAAGGAGTCAAAAAATTCCTTGTGTTGGCGGCGTTCTGCGTAGCATTCTCTCTGATTCGCCTTCTCCGTCCACCATGCATTTTTAATGCGACGGAGCTCTCGGCTCAGTCGCCGTCGAAGTTTGCGAAACTGACTACTCTTCCTCACGTCACTGGGGTCTGCGACATGTGCAGCAAATGCTGCGTTCTTCAGTGACACCATTGCGCCAGTCGTCACATTGTTCTCATCAAACCAATCATGCCGCTTGCAGTCCCTGCGCCCGATGGTCTCCTCGGCAGCAGCTGTCACCTTGTCGCGAATACGGTGCCACAGGTCGCCCACTGTGGCTATGCCGTCCACATCACACAGGCATGCAGGCACCGCCTTCTCCAGCTTAATACTTTCCTCTACCGTACCGAAAGAGAGAATGTTACATTTACGCCTGTTCACGGCGGGAGTGCAATACATAGATTTACGAAAATACAGGTACACTTTGGTCCGCACGAATATGTGATCGGTGCCACACTCAGCTCCACGCAGTACAAGTGCTATGCGCACTTCACACATATCACGCTGACGTACGATGACATGGTCGAACAGGTGAGCGTGACCACTCCGTGGGTGCGTTCGAGCTGCTATATCACTCGCACTCAGTGCAAACCGAGTGTTCGTGATCGTCAGGCCGTGAGTGGCACACAGTGAGAGCAGCCTGTCACCGTTCGCGATCGCTGAACCAATGCCATGCGGACCGGTGACATCTGTTCACACCGATGCATCACGCCCAACGCGCGCGTTGAACTCACCCAGCAGAAATAGTCGGTCGCTCCTCGGCACAGACCGTATCACGGAGGATAGCTCAGTGTAGAACTGATCACGCGTGTCATCAGGATAACACATGGTCGGACCGTAGGTGTTTATAAACGTGGCAAACTTATCTCTTCCGAGTCGTAGGCGAACAGTCATCAGTCGCGCGTTGATGGCTGTTGGTTCACCCACCAGCTGACCATGGAGGCGATCGTATATTGCAAATCCGACCCCATGTTCACGTGGTGCTGAGGCGGCGTTGCCCACCTAGTAGAATGTGCAGCCAGAACCTTCTTCATGCAACTTACCTTGCACAGCGAGCCGGGTTTCAATGAGCGCCGCAATATCGATGTTGTAGCGCACCAGCTCCATCGCGACCAGTGCAGTGCGTCGCTCCGGGCGCTCGCTCGAGTTCCGGTCCAGTAGTGTGCGCACGTTCCAACACCCGATGCTGAGTGCTTTGCGCGCAGGCCTACGATTGCATTGGTGGGCAACCGCACGCGAGGTGGTCGTTGTGCTTCAGAGGTTTACTTGAGGGACTCCACCCGGAGCCTTTGTTTCAATAGCCTGAACCACAAGGCAGTGGGTGGTTTGGAGATTTGCTTGAGGGACTCCGCCCAGGGCCTTTGGCTCAATAGCCCGACCCCCAAGGCGGTTGTGAGCAGATCCAGCTGGGGAATGTGATTGCAGAGACAGATTGGGATCTGCTTGACAGCCGTTACACGCGGCCTTTCGACCGTAGTAGGATACACACCTGCGACCACGGCCAGACGCAGGTGGGTTTTGGCGGGTTTGCACCAATTTGACCAGGGGCTGCCTGGCTTGAGGCGGGCAGTAGCAAACCATTGAACACGCGGAGGTGCCCTCCCACCGTCAAGAACAATGCGTGGCGCTCGTGCTCTACGCCAATCGAGCTGTGAGCTTATAACCCGTAGACCTGTTGTTTCCGATGGCTAGGTTTTATGGGAAGAGGGCCATCGACCACTTCCTTACCGAAGAGGATGGACTAGGATACTGCCAGGGCGCCCACACCTGACAGGAGAACGACTCGGGTCCTCAGCCAAAGCCTTCGATTAAATGAACACCAGAAAGGCAGCGAGTCTAGCACATGGGAAGTTCACTGACTCATGCGGATTGGTGTCCTGGATCTTAGCAGGGAGAAGGGCGAAACCCACTCCCACCCAGCGGTTGCCACGAGGAGGCGCACAGGACATGAGCCAATGGCACAACAGTAGCAGCAGTGGGTAGACCATCTGTCAGGATCTAGCCACCACCAGCCTCAGCGCACCATAGGATCTTCCGCGTATATATATATATATATATATATATATATCTGAGAGAAAGATGGGATGAACGGAACAAAGGAAAACGGTTTAACTGAGTTGGAGGAATCAAGTCGCCAGCAATCTCAGACGCAGTAGAGATAGGCTATGCACAACACAATTGATGAAGAAAATAACATTCGGATCGACAAGAACAAGGATAAACTATAGAAAGAATGCCATCAAAGATGAAAGCTATGCTAACACCTCGAAGACACGAACTGCAACCGTTGTAGGGTCTGTAGCAAGCAAAGAAAAATGAATACCAACAAATACGACACGACAGAAATAGAAACAGCTGCGAATACGGAATTGCAAAAAGTTGTCTGAAAGCGAATGAGTGCAGCCGAGAGAGTTTGCCGAACTCAACAAGTGCTTAAATCAGAGCATTAGTCCTCGACTGGTGAGCGTACTATGATTGGGAGCTCAATAAATGCAATCGGAATGTCCAAGAGAGATTTGAAAAAACTCGTTGAAGAGGATTGAAACAGTATGATTTGATGAAACTGTAAATCAGAAATACCGCTAGGATGAGTTTTTGCATGTGAGGAAGGAGTGAGTCCAGTTGGGGTAAATTGTGTGCCATGCCGGGATATAAGGCATACCTACGACCACTGGAATGCTTGGACTCGAGTGGTAAATGGGTATCAGACGCCATTAGCAACTTGTAGAGGGCTAGTACTGAACGTTGGGCTGTACAAATACACACACACACACACACACGCATTCCGTTCACCACACAACATTAGCCCTAATGAGGTTGCTCTGCGAAAGTGGAAGTTCTAACCAAAAAATACTTATTCAGTGAAATCGAAATGGTAAGCGGGAACAAAATGTAACGTACGTGTTCAAGGTTGAGTGTGAAGGTGGAAATGTCCGGGGAACCACAGATTCACAGTGCATGTAAAACTGAAAGAAACGAGAATCGTACAAATATATAAACGGTGACGTAAGGGATTTCTGAAAGCAGGTGCCTTGTGCGTTAACTGCTGGTTCTAGGTTTTCACGTGCGCACGCAGCCCAGTTTGCGACTGATTTAAATGTACATTTGTCAAACGATCGCTAGCATTTATTACGCATGTGAAGGGACAACAGAATACACTGCTACAAGATCGTTGTACCGTTGTTCCACCTACAGTTCGTATGTGTTCGGGGTACTACTGCTTTGGTCAGTTTGCGAGTAGGCCTAGTACACTTACTGGAATGCGACAGTAGGCAAGAATAGATTGTTTGTTGGAATGCCTATGCACAATGCAAGGGTCACCATTCAGAACAACTTAGTATTCGAATCCCGATGGACGGCGTAAATATCAAAGATAAGGATGTGGTTGAAGATATGGCTGGCAGGCTTGAATATGGCACCTGAAAGCTAGCGGACCGAATAGAATGATACAAGCATTCTTTAGACAAAACGTTGTGTCTTCGAAGCGCAGATGGAGATTGTGGAAGGAAATTAGACGGCTTCTCGCCACCGCACTGCAACACATGACCGTGAATTCGCTGGAACATCCTTGGTGCCCGGAAACGGCTCAAAAGCGATGCTACTGCTACTACGAAGATAGTAAAAACTAAAAGTGACCCTATGAACGTGCATTAGGTTTCCGGAGACGGCACCAATTTGTGTGGTAGACTGATGGAATGGGTGCATGACTTGAAGGAGCAAGCTAAGATACAGAATGAATAGGCTACTTTAGAGGCGGAGGAGAATTTTCAGCAGGTGAGAATGAAACAAGTTGCGAGACACATGATTAGGATCGTGATCTTGATGAAAAGTTAAACTTCATAAAATTGAAGAAGGTATTGGGGTGATAACTGTACTTACCCACTGGTTGTATGGTGTGAAGCAGCCAGTTAGGGCTTTCATAGCCTCTTGTGCAACAACCCCACCAAACACGGCACACAGTGGAGACAATTCGCCAGGCGACACGAGTGCGAGACGTCTCACAAACTCTTGATCCACCTGATCCAACTGCGCGAAATGGGAGAGAATATATTCAGCTAATGCTGAGAATCAGCGGCACAGTGAGTATCGATACAACTCAGAACGAGTGATCCTGTACACACACAGGTGGATCTGTTGTCATGCAAAGCGTGGGGTAGTACGTAAATTGGTTAATTAATTAATCAATGCTAATTTGTGGTCTCCGCGAGTAAATTTACGAGAGTATATGGTCTATAGGGCTTGCAACCCAAAGCGTAGGAAAGCTCGTGTACCAAACACAGTTTAATCAACACTGACAGAACATTCTCGATTGCGTTTTAGTGGTCAGACGATGATAGGGGCGTGAGAAATAAATGTTTTATTCTCGACAATGCGAGACACGCCTGTATATGTATGGTCGTGGCGATTCGAATACCAGAGAGCGGCAAATGTAAATAACGGTACAAGTTTATCGGCAGCATACGGATCTATGTAATGGGTGTATATGAATGCATGCAGGTATGAATGTGTGTCACTGAGTTGCTTGAATTTGTACGCAGAGGCCAGTAGCTTTGTCACCACCGGTGTCTGGTTAACACTCCTGTGGTTAGCACTCGATGCGACTGCCCATCTTGTGGATTGCTACTATGATCAATCCAGGCCAATTAGCTGAGATGATCTGTTCCATTCAGAATCTGTCAGAAAAGGTGCATCAGTGTTCTGCAGCGGACTTCGCGAAAATCCCTAGCACAGGAGCGACAGAGTTCCGACCTGCACCGTGAAAACGGTTGGCAGCCATTATGGCTTTTTTACCTTTAGCCTCCGATGAAGCCAATAAGTCAACATGTCATGATTCGGCTAGCATAATCTGAGCAGGAAGAAGTCCAGGACCAGTTGGACAATTAAACTGCTCTTTTAAGTGATGCGTCTAACGAGCCAGAGGTCGCTCTTTATCGAGAAGATGGGCGCATGCGTCCGCCGGACTAGTGGTGTGGATCAGTTGGAAGAGCTTGCGATCAATGCTTCCGCCCGCCCCGTTTCTTGTGCCCAATGGGTTAACCTAGTCAGTAAGTAGGCTTAGATTTAGTTCGCACATAATAGTACGTCCGGTTACATTATGCTCAGAGCCAGTCGGGAGTTTTCGTCTGAATTCCAACAGGTTCAGCGACCTCTCGGATGCACAGTGACTGGTGTGTTGACGATCAATAGTGCCGCAAGCAGAGGCTGCAGGTCGTGCATGGCAGCCGAGGTCCTACTCAACTGAAGCACAATGTCATTAAGAAGATAGAGCGAAAATTCGGTACGCAGGGCATCCTAGACACTTGCCTGACAGGAGACTGAGATAACTGCAGTTAATCGAGAGGGGTGCTTGGTACGCCTCCCGGTAAAGTTCACAGGAAAATGACAGCGTACCAAGGACGGATCAGAGTCGACGCAAGTATTCCAGAACCAGTGACAATCCCGGATGGAACTACGGCACCTGTGCGTTATTGCAAGGTGATCTACTTGGGTCCATCGCTTGCTGGCTGAAGGGGAACGCCGAGCTACATTTGACGCTCGCTTCGTCTAAAAGCAATACTACTGAGAAACAGCCGGTGCCCCGCATACAGTTGTAACGGACACTCATAGCTGTCTGTCCAGCCGAGGCTAAGTCCATACTTACGACTTATGTGAGCTGAAGAGCTCAGACGACTTACTTGTGCATTCATATCTCATACAAGAACTAAGATGCCTGAACTGGTAGCACTGCGTAGTAGCGTGTTCAGTTCGTGGTATAAAGCGTCCTTCGCAGCATCAGAGCTGCAATCGGTAGGGGCATAAGCGGAAACCACAAACAAACAGTGGCAAGTGATGTTTCGTAAATCTAACCTTCGTTGGTCGTCAAAGGGACTGCACACAAACGGCTGTTCACGGGAATCCAATCAAGCAACAATGACTCGGCCTTGTAGCTGAGAACAATGTCCACTCCAGCTTGATTAGTGGTTACCGCATCAGCGTCTCCGGATGCGTGCAACTAACAACAAGAGGACAAACCAGGCGCAGTTAATTCAAGAACCTCGTGAGGATAATTGGTCCTAGTTTCGGACATACGACACACGTCAATATTTAGCGTTTCCCAGGCGCGGGCAAATACAGCCTGTTGACCTATCTCTCTGTGAACATTGAAAGCTGCCACGGAGACGGGAAGGCATGACTTTATAAAGGGTTATTGTCAATAGGAGTAAGTGGGTGGTGTGGGAAAATAGCTGCAGATGGTAGAGTTTCAGTGGCACTGCAGCTGCTGTTAATTAGGCAGGGAATTACTGAAGGAAGGTTAGTAGAGGGGGTCGGGAGGGAATTGAGCGAAGCAAGTAGGAAAGAAAGAAGAGAGATATAAGCATCAGCATCTTTTCGCCTGTCAATGCTGCGTATGCAACAGCGAAAAAGACTCTCTTGAGGCTGTGCGACGGCTTATGCAGGATGGGGTTGAAGTTGGAGAGAACGACCATGATTATGCGTGGACTTGGGCACTGACAGGGTTAATAAACGAAGATGGGAACAACAGATTAGGAGGGGATGGTTTCACTGTGTTCAATGGGCGATGAAGACCCACACTTGATCAACAGCTTCTCACGTTCAAGTAGATAATGGCCCCGAGGATTGTCTGCTCCGTGTCTTGTGACAGGATAAAGACATGACTCAGGTTCGTTCACCGATTCCAAATGCTCTGCCATACCATTTGTGAGCATGTTGGAATCGCTAGCTCCTTCCGATATTAGCAACAGCATTGGACAGTGATATACGTCTTCAGGAGATGAAAAGCACATCTCAATTTTGGGTCGACTGAAATGACTATTAAATATGTAAAGACGTCGTAAATAGACACTGCAAAGAAAGCAATAACCGCACGCAAATACATAGAAAAGTTAGGAAAACTAGTGAGCCAAGGATGCATACCGCAGATGATAGTGGACGTGTGCTAGTGGAGATGTCGTTGTGGTGCTTAGCATATAATCCGGTTTGAGGATGTAGCCATGCGAACAAGGGCTAAGAAATATCCGTCACAACGTGCGTAGGTGACATAGAAAGGGTATATTAAGCTAAGAGTGTAGAAGTAGCAAACCATTAAATTTCTGTGCGAATTAGTGCGATCTCAGCGACAATGTTACCACTGAATGAGGGTAAAGATGTGTGATGAGTAACAATTGCACTGTCATTACACTAGCAAAGAAACGACAAATAGACCTTCCAAATGATAGCAACAGTTTCTTACTGAAGGTTGAACATTATTCATCATTATATATGTTATCTGCAATTGGGAACACTTCAGCGATTGTGCCGCAATACAAAAGAACATAAAAAACATTAAACAGATGCATGCCAGTTGACCCACCGGTAACGGATGGACATCGTTCCGGAGAGTTAACAGCCGACTATTGTGCCGCAAAGAAGTCATAGTATGCCTAATAATTGAGATGGTGGTTAGAGGGGAAGGGACAAAGAAACTCACAACACAAATGTCACAGAGGTCGGCTCCTTGCCATGTTAAAAAGTGTGTCCAGCCAAACGTGTTTATATTCCTTGGGTCCCCAACCAGGGATCCGAGACGCCCCAACTGAGGTCAACATCGAAGTAAGGGCCTTCGTTCCACTGGACCAAGTCAATGCTTAGCCACCTCGCATCTTCTTCCATCCAAAACCTCGGCGGGCAAACAACGCACGTCGCGGGAGTCGGTGGGCTAGCATGCGCAACACGTGGCCCAGCCATCGGAACATGGTGCGTGAAATAACGGTGTTGAGCGGTTCATTACCATTTCCTGTGCCGTAAACAAGGCGTCAAACACGCTCGTTGCTCACGAAGTGTTGCCACAAGATATGAGCCCAATTGCGAAGGCATCGGTGGTCGAACGTAACTAGCCTCTTCAGGTCCGCTGCTTTAAGGGGCCAGGTTTCACAACCGTACAGTAGGGTCGAAAGTACCGCTGCATTGTACCCTCTACTCTTCAGGGAGAGTGATGTCGCGCCGGCCTCATAGATGAGGAAGGTTAGCAAAAGTGAATGGTGCTTTTGCTATACCGTTTGTGACCTCGTTTTCACATCCAGCGGCGCTGGTACAACTGCCTAGGTGGTTGAACTTTTGAAAAACTTCTAGCTGATCCCCACCAAGGGTTAATTTATGAGGCGGTCCCTGTCAATTTTGGAGGAAGGCTTTGCACTTCGAAAGTGCAAAGCATAACCCGAAACGGACGACAGCCGGTGCTAATCTGTGCAGTGCCGCTTGGCACGTTTGTGAGGTGTCATAGATGAGGGCAAATGTCGTCAGCATACTCCAAGTCAAGAAATCCTTTGCCTGGGAGCAGGTCCATACCTTCTAAGTCGTGTCCTGTGGACGCGAACTACATGAATTCGTCAATAGCGAAGTGGAAGAGGAAAGGTGACAGCGAGCATCCTTCTTACACCAAAGAAGATATTGAAGGGCGGCGACAGCTTGCCGTAAGCCCCCATTCTGCCCGAGCTACGTGTGTATAAATCTCGCATGATATTTACGCACTTTACGGGCACAAGTTTCCTTAGAAGACAGTCTCAAAGGGCACATCAATCCACTGAATCGAAGCCACCTTTGATGTCGGGGATCAAGACAACGGTGGGTCGCCCATATGTGTGACGGTGCTCCAATAACTGACGTAATGAAAATATGTAGTCGATACATTCCCGACCAGGGCGAAACCCAGCCTATTCCTAACGAATCTGGCTTTCACAAGTGCCAGTCAGTCTGTGAAGGATGATAGAGGCAAGTAATTTGGAGGCGATGGAGATCAGACTGATTCCTCTATGGTTGCCGCATTCCGAAGGCAAGCTTTCTTCGAAGATCAGGACAATAAGGTAGCGGCCCCAGTCGGTTGGGACAGTTTCCTGTTTCCATAGTTCCGCTAGTAATTCGTGTAACTCATCAACAAGAGTAGAGCCACCGAATTTGAAGAGTCCTGGAGGAAGATCATCTGGTCCCGTAGCTTTATTCAACTTCAACAGTCCGAGCTCACGTTCGACTTCTGAGGGAAGGTGGATCTAAAGAGACAGCCCAGGGAGCAGGGCGATCACTGCCGGGGAGAAATATAACAATTACGACAGATTAAATTGCTCTTCAAAATGCTCAGCCCAACTCCGTAAGCGTTTTGACAAGTTGTGGATAGGCTGTCCACTCTCCTCACGTATAGTTTCACTAACCCCAGGTCTCCTGCTGCCCGTTTCCCGTATCAGAAATAACAACTGCCGATGGTTACCAAAGGTAGCGGCCAGTTCCACCGCTGATGCACGATGAGACCACCAGGATTCGCGGTCTCCCTTCAGGATAGCACGGAGATTTGCCCTGATGTCATTGCGAGTCTCGTTGTGTTCTCTTTTAGCCGGAATGTGCCGGTGAGCAGAGATAATTTCAAAGACTGCGAAGAGACCCTAAGTCTATTTTGGTTAGTGGATTTACCACATGAGGATTTGCCAGCTGCTAATAAGGTCCAGTGAACATGCGACCAGTGAATTTCAACTGTATTCAGTGAGCGCTTGCTCAACCCGAACGCCAGCGCAATTCGATACGCATTCAGAACACCTGGCTTCGCCAGTTGGCTGCTGCCTATGCCTTCACAGGGTCGTCGATAGCGACCGCCTAAACGCACCCGCAGTTCAGCCCATACAAGTGTATGGTCAGTGTCCACACATGTGCTCCAAATCGAGCGACAGTTCTAGACGCAGCCTCTAAAGTAAGAACTGATCGCGATGTAATCGATTTGCATCCATAGCTGGTGAACACCATGTTACCTTCCGACGGGTGCTGTGTCGGAAGTTAGTGCTTGCAAGAAATAAGCGAGCATCTTCACACAAATGAAGTAACCGCTCACCGTTATCATTACGGGAGACTACACCGTGTTGGCCGCCCAGATGCAGCTTAGCAGTGGACAAGTTAACAAGTTCCGCGTTCAGATCCCCAGCAAACACCACAGTGTCAGTAGCATAGGAGCTCGTTCAGTTGACGACAGAAGTCGTCTTTTACCGAGTCATCGCTACAGTTCGTGGGGACGTAGGCAGCGATGACAAGCAAACACCTAGTAGACCAGCGCGACTTCGAAGCTTTGAACGAGCCAGTCAGTCGGAATGCACACATCCGGCTACTGATTAGAATCCAATCAATCAGGTCAGCTTCAGAACGGGGACTCAGGGCAATACCAACACCGGCTTGGCCGGTGCTCAAAGCTGCATCGTCTTCCGATAGGCGCAGCGAGAAAGCATTGCTAGGGCAACCTGAAACGGGTCGCAGTGCGAGAACAGAGCTCGGGTCATGTAAGCGGGTTTCCGAGAAACGGCAGATATCGATCGAGAGGGTCTCTAATATTTGGGAAAGTGCTGACTGTTGACCGATCTGTAACAATATGCGTAAGTTGAGGGAGGATCGGAGGCTCCTAATAGAAGCCGATGAACTAGGCTTGACCGCTTGGTTAGACAAGGGCTTGTCGATAGGGCAAGAGTGACGACGCGTTTGTATGTGAGTTGAAACCAGAAGATAAACGCCTATCAAAGCATGGTGGAGGAGGGCCAAGATAAGGGTGAAAAAGAGTAAGGAGGAATAAGAAGATAGCCCTATCCACTCTGCTCGATGCAGCAGATAGAGCACCGTTGATCATCCACTGCGGTGGCCAGAACATCAGGAAATTGTCGGAGGAAAGAATTTTAGTATTGTGTGGGCAGGAGGCTGTCAGGTTGTCCATGTCTAAACAAGAGAACGATTAGGATTCTCAACCAAAGCCTTTGGTTCATAAACCTGACCGCAAGGCAGCGAGTTTAGCACTGGACTACAATGAGTCCGTTTTAAGGAATAAGGAGCCACCTACATTGCAACCGCCAATCTATGGAGACTGAGTTCGTCTGGCTTCTAACCATTGATCAATCTGGTATAAGGGGATCTGAAGGTGCAAAAAAGCAACACCCAGCATAGCTTAATGGATCGCTGAGGCACGCAAACCATCGCACGACGGTAAGATCCAGCCTCATTGTGATTGAATGTCGAACATCCGAGTAGGTATTGACTACTGACTGTTGTGCAAGGAGGAATCACAAAATTCAGAACTGGACCTTTTCAGTCAATGCCAAGATGCATTCGAACTATAACCGAATATCGGAAAGGGTATGATTGACCTGCAGGGATAGATGAAGTTAAGGGAAGCGCTTTCATTGAGACCAAACGCAACTGTAACTGCATCCAAATTTAGTAATGCTGTATGTAGTCCGTTGCATCATTCTTATACCTTCTGCATCGAGGATCATGATTCGGTAGCAGTGCTCTTCGCTGCAGGCCTAACTTCCACTTCTAAGCTACGTCTTGTACATGGATATGAGTTGCTTAACGTGCGAACACGATAGCTTGTAATTGGCACGTTTCCATCCGACTTAGCTTATGCGAGCACATCAATTATCACAAATTGAGAAGAAGCCTAGGAGGTAAAAAGACTGAGGTGGGTGCTTGAAAATGTGGCTGTGTATAATCTGCACTGTGGTATTAGCCACAAGCACCATGCGCACTTCACATGGACCATTCCGGAATGACGGAGTGAAAGCTCCAGGGTGGTGAGCAACACCTAGCTGGTTGTGACAGGACACAGTGACTCACGTCAATGAGTGTAGACGCACGACCGAAGAATGGTGTCGGTTAGAAGTTAAAACCCGGTGGCCAGAAAGTGCTGTAGACCCTAATAGAATTCTGCTTTTATTTGTAGCAAATGTCGGTCACTAAGGAAGTGGCGCCGCAGTATCCTTAACCCACGCACGACTGGTGGTGAGGCATCGAAAGTGCGTACCAGCGTACTGCTGATGCTTTTGGTCTGCCATATCTCCCCCAATGTCCCCCGCGCAAGCGTCTATTAGCGTGTTCGCTGCGTAACAGTTTTAAACACTGCATATCGATGGGAACGCTAACAATAATTGTCTTCGCGATGCGTTTGTTGGTGCGATAAGTGAGAAAAGCCCGAAAACTATACGGGACCTTAAATAACCGAAAGTGAATTATTGGATTAGGTAAAAAAGCAAATGAGGTTATTAAAAAGTAAACATGGATGTGTGAATAAACACAAATGAATAATGACAATTTTGTTATGTCGTGTCATGATTACATCGGTTCCACCACAGCGTTCGGATTGGTCAAATTAGAGTATACCCATTCGAAACTGGATACTTCTAGTTTTCAGCATGATTGACACGATTTCTATCAGAAAGCGGACACTTGCCAAGAGGTCAGTTAAGTGTTCCTTGAGCTTGTTAGCTGACTGCAACTAGGATATGAGTCTCGGTCGGTAGCCGGAGTGACAGGAAGAGGCATTCGTGACATGCACAAGCAGGCCCGACAAATAATACATCGTGGATTGGTGTTACCATGCAGGTGATATGCAAGTGAAGCCAAAAGGTAGGAGAGTTGAAGTTTCCACTGATGTCCATCTGAAGAATGGCGTGGACGATCAAAAGGACATCAGTTAAAAAAGACATGAGGAGGAAGTAAACCCACTTTATACGGCACCAAACCCTGGAGTGTCTGGAACTTCTGGTTGAACAAAGTCCAATCGGGTTCACGCCTAAAAGAGACAAATTCGTTAGAACATGGAACGCTAACAGTTACATAAGGGGAGAATGCCACTGCGAGATATTTTAAAGAAACTAAAAAAGTAAAAAGTAGAGAATGTGCGACGTGAATGGTCATTAACGTGAGTCGAGCAAATGTCGCTGGAGGAAAAAAGATCCGGATATTAAGCTCAAAGCATATGGGTAATATGGTGTAGATTAATTGGGGCTGTAACAGTTTCGGTGGTGCTCGCTTCCAACACATCATCCTGGGACCAGTTTCGTTGTCAATTAGGCTCTCGGATTAGAATAACAGGAACAAGAACTGAAATACACGCGGAGCCAAAGACATCAGCAGTAAGCCAAGACAGTGTACTGACGTTCCGCTGCCACGCGACCATCACTAGTCGTGTGTGGGCGGAGTATATTGTGTGGTTGCCTGCACCTAAGCGAATTCGAATCGGTGACCCCCAGAATGGATAAAAGTGTACCATAAAGTAGATGTAAACGAAGTTCAGAGTCCGAAGCGAGTTAATAATCAAAAAGCATTTCACAGAGACCACAGGTGGGACAGCTAAACGTTTTGATGCACGTAAACTAAGAATGAGAAAGTAATGACAGTACTGCCTTTAATGCAGGCCAAAGTTGCAGTAGGTGAAATATCCATGTTACTGAACGAGAAAATCACCTCGACCTAGCTGAGGTAGCACAAACAATGGTGGCTGGCACGTAAGGTACGCGAGGCATCATTAAGTAGAAACTCCATCAATAATAAGTATAAGATGGAAAAGAGGCAAAAACGGACTAACCATGGCTCAGGAAAGCGTTGTTCGTCATGACGAAAAGCCATCAAGCTGAGAAAAATGTGGTGCAACAGGATGCCTTCCTAAAAGGGACAATGGAGGAAGCGGAAGAACCGTGTGAAGGAAGTGTAAAGCCAAGTTCACATGGAGACATTCTGCAATAACATAGAAGTGCTTTTCATTTTGAGTCATAACTCACACGTATTAGGTGCACCGGATTTGGAAGCACTGAGTCTGGGTGGTCTAACTGTATCGATCGATCAGTGACCGAAAGGATAAAGCGCTTGCATGGTAATCCAGAGGTAACCGGCTCGAATCCACGTAGATACGGGCGACTTTGCAGTACACCCGGTCCTCGCGCGACTGGTGGTGGTCGCGTGGTAGCGAAGTGTCGGTACGATGTGTCGACGTACCGCCGGTAACTTCTTCTTCCGTAGTTCATCTGTGTACAGTCGCGTTGAGAAATTGCACGTTACTCGATGGACAAAGACAGTTGAAACATTTCCGATCGAGGGATTTGTGACGCCGTGAAGTCGGTAAGGTGTGTTCCCATTAGGGTGAACAGAACTCACATTTAGTTCACACTGCAGCGCGATCGCATTCTCTCAGGCCTCGTACTTAGATCAAATATACTATCAAAACTCTCCAAACAAACGTGTGTACACACATATTGGATCCACCTTCCGCAGCGCTAGTTCCTGCACTCCATTTTTCTGATCTAGCTTGTGCGCTAAAAGCGCTATTAGTGAATGCATAATGCCGTCACCTGCACAGGCTCATGATTGAGCCAGAGGCATTCTCAACGATCTTTTCAGCCAATGTCCCGTAAGGGCCCGGGCGTTAATCGATAGGGTGCTTGTTGGATGAGCATGATACAATGTTGCGTTTATCCTTGAAAGTGCAGAACAGTTACATAGCTTTGTCACAAATGAACTTGCAAGCCAGTTTCTTTTGAAGCCCAACAAGCTCGCTCCAACGGCTCGATGCACCAGTCCTGCAATTAGTTAAACAGTTTAAGTGGTCGTCCACTTGAAATATCCCAGCGTGGATTCGAATCCCTTCCGTCGTCAGCGGAAGTGGTCGTCCATCGCCTGATTAGACGGTCGGCTATTGATCGGAAACTCGAGGTCACTTGAACCATAGGAAAGAGAAAAGACCGGTTTCGGGCGAGCAGAGAGGAAACGATGTATATTAACTAATCCCAGAGTTCAATATAAAGGTCAAATCGAACATTCGGGAACGGTATATAGAGCTCAAGTGAAAGCCAGTAGAAGAGTCAAGTTACGACCAATTAAACAATACCGTTCTCATGCTAAATGGCCGGTTTACCAAGTTGGCTATATATTCGTCCAATCCGTGCTAGAGAATGGCGGCTCACCGACCATGGTTTGGTTCCGTATCGGCGTTTCGGCTGCTCACCTAGCGATTTCCTTCGTAAACCCTTGGATTCGAACATTCACACTAACTTTCGGCACGATTATACCTTATGCATCTCGACTCGACTCGCCTCATTCTCGACATCGAAGGCTTCCTTTGATTAGCCTTTAAGAAAGGAACGCTGTAGCGCCCCAAAAATGATGTACAAGTTCAGTACTTATCGGCCGTTTTACTGCCCTTCACCTTCTGTCCTCATCCCCATACTCTCGTCTGCTCGGTGAGTAACGGTGCTGAGGCTTGCTCATGTATCGCTTCATCCGTCCGTGTCTTCTTGTAGCTCCTCGAATATGGTCCGCTGTGTCCGACTTCGTTTACTTTCTGATATCTGTGCTCGAGTACGCGCATCTACTAGGACTAGTGATCTTTTAGTCCTATAGTTACAGTAAGTTCTTGTTCGTTTGTACTGTTCTCACATAGCTGCGCTTGTGAACTGTCGAATGACTCCCCCGTAGTTCAGGATCTGATCCGAGTGCGTTGATTTCCAGTTGTCCAACAGCAGTCCTTCGAATAGTAACTGCCCTTCATCCTCCGCATTAGTAAATTGGATGCCATCGGATATATTGTTGATTATTTCACGTGTCTTCTCTAAATTGGAATGTGTGAGGATAACGGTGTTTTCCACGTAACAGATCTACCAGCGGAAACGATTGGAAGTGAATATCTACGCGAAGAATAAAGCCAATAAAGAGAAAACGTTTGATGTAATCTACAAGAGATGAGGTCGAAATTATGAAAAATACTACGTGGGACAAAGGGGCAGTAATGTTTACACACAGCTACATGAGCATAGCCTAGCCATTCGCCGTCGCAATCAGAACACCATGATGTCATGCAGATGGAGGAGGAAAACCACCTAGTGCACATCATCATCATCATCATAATCAGCATTACACGTTGGCTGAAGGTAATAAACACACTTCAGCTAATGTGCCGCGATGAAAAAAGATAAGATATATGAGAAAACGAGATAAAAACATTACATCATATAATTCAAAACTCAAGGAAGTATAGCATGCGTAGTACCATTACGTATCATGCGTGAGGACGTGGTTGGAAGGGAAAGATAAACGGGAAGGGGAGACAAAAAAGTCACAACAGAAACGCCAATGTGGTCGAGTCTTCGCCATGTCAACAAGTATATGTAACCAAACGTGAAGACCGCCCTTCGGACCCCAGCCCGTCAGTCGGAGGACATCAACCGAAGCCAAGTTCGGTGTGAGGGTCTTCATTCCTTTTAACCAAGTCGCCGCTTTGCCTCTCCTGTTCTTCCATCCAAAGCTCCGGCGCGCAAACAAGTAAAGTTGCAGGAGTGTGTGCTGCCATGCGCAACCCGAGACCCGGCCACTAGAGGCTGGTGCGTGAAATAACAGTGACGAGCGGTTCACTCGCACCAAATACACGACACCGAACACGTTCGTAGTTCACGTGGTGTCTCCATCAGTTAACAACTAAGCGGCGAAGGAAGCGATGATCGGACGTAACTGTCGATCTGATGGGGCAAGTTTCGTAACGGCACAGTAGGGTTAAACAGACGGCTGCATTGTTAACTCTGCCCTTCAGAGCGAGAGTGATGTCGCGTCGGCGCCACAGGTAACGAAGATTGACAAAACCGCTGCGAGCTCTTGCCAATCTGGTTCGTAGTTTCATCTTCGATCCCCCCGGTGCTAATATAGGTGCCGAGATAATTTCGGCACAATTGCTAGCTGATCACCACCAAGGGTCAGCGAAGGAGTGGGCCCAGACTAATCTTGAAGGACCGCATTTCGAGGGTGTATAACAAAGCCCGAAACGACTGACAGTCAGAGTTAACTTATCCAGTACAGCTTGGCGCGTTTGGAAGCTGACACAGATAAAGGCAATGCGATCGGAGTACTCCAAGTTAAAATGTCACCCGCCTTGAAGCAGCTCCACATCATCTAAGTCGTGCGAAATGAGTTCACTTCCCATGACTTCGACGATGGAGAAGTTAAAAAGGAAAGGTGACAGCGGCAACACTGTCTCACACCTCTGGAGATATTGAAAGACGGTGACATTTTGCCATAAATCCTCACTCTGACCGAACTGCGCGCGTAAAGCGCTCTGATAACGTCTACGTGTTTTTCGGACACAGTTTTCCTGAGTAAACAGTCCAAAAAGGCACATCGATCTACCGAACCGAAGGCACTTTCGATGACTAGGAACACGAATACGGTGGGTTGCCAATAAACATTGCGGTGCTCCAACAATTGACATAAAGTGACGATGTGGTCAATGCAGCCTCGCTTTCGAGGAAACCCAGCTGGTTTCTCGTGCCAATGAGTCTATGGAGGACGACAGAGGCACGTAACCTAGAGATAATTGAGATCAAGCTGGTCTCTCTATGACTGCCGCATTTAAAAACGGCAGCCTCCTTCGAAAATTGTGAATAAAAGGCGACGGCTGCAGTCTGTTGGGACAGTCTCCTTCGGCTGTGCAAATCATTCTAAGATCAGGTCCCCAGGATTCGGAGGAGAAAGTTGATCTGCTCCTGTGGCCTCATTCAATTTCAAGAGTCCGATCTCACGGTTGACTTCTGCACGTGACGGCGGATCCAGAGTGATGGCACAGGGAGATGCATGATCAATGGCCGATAAGGAAGCTGGTAACTGGTTGATTAAACTAGTTTTCAGTGTTCGGCACAACGGTCCAAGCGTTTTTACAAGCTTTGAATGGGTTGTCCACTCTCTTCGCGTATGGTCTTGCTAAGACCAGGATTTTCCTGCTCGTTTCCCGAATCAGACGGAATAACTTACGATGGTTACCAACCGCAGCGGCTGTTTCCATCTCTGACACTCGATGAGTCCACGTAGCTTTATGGTCTGTTTTTAGATGAGTCTCATTGTGTTCGGTCCCAGCCGCAAAACATTGGCGAGAATTCAGAACTTCAAGAGGCTGTGTAGAGTCCCAATGTCCAGGTTGGCAATCTGATTTGGCACATGAAGACATGGCTGCTGGTAATAAAATCTGGCGGATAAGCGACCACTGATCTTCATGTGTATTCAGTGGGCGCTTACTCAGCCCGGATGCTAGCGTACATTGATGCGCATTGAGAACATCTGGCTTCGCAAGTTGGCAAGTATCTATGCACTCACAGCACCGTTGCGGAAGGCCGCCAAAACTCACCCGAAGGTCTGCACACACAAGAGCGTGATCGGGTCCACGCTCGTGCTCCAAATCAAGCGACAATTTTGGACGCAGCCTCTCCAGCGATAACTGATCGCGATGTGATCGATCTGGGTCCATGGCCGGTAGGCGCCAAGTCACTCTTCTGCGGGTGCTGTGTCGAAAGTTAGTGCTCGCAAGAAAGAGATGAATATATTAACACAGGTGTAGCAACCGCTCACCCTTATCTTTACCGGAGCCCACGTCGTGTTGAGTGTTAAAAATAACAGCAAGCGTCACAGTATCTGTAGATTTTCTGTAACGAAAAAGCACGTTCATTTGATGATACGAGTCATCTTTCAGCGAGTCAGTGCTACCATTTGTGGGGGCATAGACCGCAATGAAAAATAGGCGCCAGTTGTCCCAGCGTGAGTTCGAAGCTTGCATCGAACCAGCAAATCTTAGAGCGCACATCCTGCTGTTGATAAGGATGCAATTGACCATGTCAGCGTCAACCTGGGGGCGCAGAGCAACACTCACGCCGGCTGGAAGCTGCGTTACCACAAGAGAAGCGTAATGAGAAAATACCGCCAGTGTCGCATGCGGATGATCGCAGAGCAATCCCAAAATTCGAGATTTGCAGGCGAGTTTCCCATAAGCAGAAGATATCGATCGACATGGTCTCCAGTGATCGGACAAGTGCAGTCTGTTGGCCAGTTTGCAGCAAAGTGCGCACATTGAGGAATGTCAGTCTAAGGGATGATCTACGGTTCCAAACAGAAACAGATGAACTGACGTTGTCCGTTTGGCTGAATATGGACCTGTCGAGTGCGCCGGAGCGATGCCCTGCAATTGCATGTGAGGGGAAAGTAGAAGACAAACGCTTATCAAAGCAAATTCAGAGGGCCAAAAATGGGGGGTCTGAAAACAGAGGGGATAAAAGTGAAGTTGGAGCAAGATGATAAGGATGAAAACGCGCAAGAGCGGAAATAAGAAGACGGGGAGACCTGCGTAATAGATAGAATTCCAACAACTATCCACCCTGCATGGTGCAGCAAGAGCATGTCATAATACTCGGAATTGCAAAAAAAGCCGACAAGCGTGCAAGTTTCACGAGGCCTAGCATTAAAAGCAGGACTTTAGCAATGAACAGTTTAGTATAGGATTAGATTACGAGGATCTGTGAACAAACTATTGGAGCCACACTAGTGACAATGACTAAGCTAGCAAGGAAAAGTGTGCGAATCAACCGGTCGGCTTGAAGAAAAACGCAAAATCCACAAAAGGTCTTCTCGGCACGGAAACAGTGCACTGAAGAAGAGAGAAGTGCAAAAAAACTCACATTGGGATGAGACAGGTCAGCCGTAGCGATTCTGGGCTCGTGAAGCTGTTCTAGCAAGGAGTCCTGGAGAACAAAAGAAGAGGGGCATTGCAAAGACGGAGTAATCACAGGTGAAAGCAAAAGCAAGTCACAGAACGAGCCTATGTGTGCAATAATCGTTTCCACAGAGTCAGCCAGGGTAAGTCGAACGCAGAGTGTGTGTGGAAGTTGAGTGGGGAAAAACGACTCACAAAATGCTGTATTTGTGGTTGCACTATTTGAACTGCCACGCCACCACCGATGTAAGGAGATAGGTTGCCAGTGTCCATTTCAATCAACAATTCCGAGGAAGAAACAACTGAAAGCAAACAAGTAGGATCCACTGAAAGAGTGCCATTAACGTTAAACCAACTACATATATTGCCGATGATTCGATATATAAGCGCAAGATCTACATATCATAAAAGACCGCTTTCAGGCCCCTTCGTTATCATATCTAGAGCTCATGTAATGCTTAGCACAGTAACATTGCACTGCGCTAGTACGTGCAACGCACAACTACACATTTCCGGGTACGTCACATCCAACTATGGGCGCGTCAACCACCGTGACGGTGAATGCCTTACATACATCCGCGACGACTTCAAAATGTCATTCTTCAAGGTCCTAACACAAGGTGGCAACCGGGAAAACGCATCATGGATCAAGACTCGAGGTGGACACTGACAATTTTATCGGATGTATACAAAGCCGCCCACAAAACTCTAGCATATGGGTTGACGAACTCGTTGAACTTATCACCCAGATCTCGGTAACGCACTCGTGCTATGAGATGATTATTGGTGACTGTAACGTATCAGTTATTGCGTACTACAGCCAAACAGTCCCATCCAAATGCAGTGTGCTAGTCCATACTAAGTTTGCACACCTATGGACCCAACATGCGCGTTCCTACTAGATATTCTGGAATTCGCGAGCTATAGTTCACAAAGAGCATCTCACACGTATTCGTCAGTGTGCGAGATTGTCAGCATAAAACTGTAAAGCCAAGCTTGCTAAATTAAAGCGATCGTTAACCAGACCAGTGATTACTCTTCAGGATAGCTCCTCTCTATTCCTCAGACAGGTGAATTGGGAAAATTGCTTTATGACGATCGATAAGGACATTGCACCACCCGATGTCTAGATGTACTGACCCTGAAAGTATAAACTTGAACACCAAGGCCCTTGGTTGACGTACACACACTATACACGTTAGCTAGAGGTGGGAAACACTTCAGCTACTGTGTCTCAATACATAAAAGAAAAAAGGGAATAAAATACAACAGGTGCAACCCGCCTGAGCTACCGGTAACGGATGGGCATCGTTCCGGTAAGCTATCTGCCGGCTACTATGCAGCAGAAAAATAATAATTTACTATGCAAAATTATAAAATGCTAAATAATGTGATCGTGGTTGGAGGGGGAGGCTAAGAGGGATGGGGTGGGACAAAGAAACTTACAGCACGAACTCCTAGCCATATCAACAAGTGTATCCAGCCAAACGTATTCATCGTCTTTCGGACCCCAACTAGGGAGCCGAGACGACCCAACCGAGGCCAGCTTCGAAGTGAGGGCCTTCACTCCTCTCGACCAAGTCATCGATTGGCCATCCTTTCTCTTCTTCCATGCACATCCCCGGCGCGCAAACAACGCACGTCGCGGGAGTCGGTGGCTGGCATGCGCAACACCTAGCCGACGGTGCTCCAACAAGTGACGCAAAGTGAAGATGTGGTCAATGCAGCCACAACCTCGAGAAAACCCGGCTTGCTCTTCACGAATATGGCTTTCACAAGTGCCAGCCAGTCTGTGAAGGATGAAAGAGGCAAGCAATTTGGAGGCGATGGAGATTAGACTGATTCCTCTATGGCTGCCGCCTTCCGATCGTGAGGCGCTATTGAAAATTGGGACTATGACGGAGCGGCTCCAGTCTATCGGGACAGTTTCCTGCTCCCACAGTTTCACTAGTAACTCGTGTAAATCATTCACAAGAGCAGGTCCCCCGAATTTGAAGAGGGCGGTATGAAGATCATCTGGTCCCGTAGCTTTATTTAACATCAACAGTTCGATCTCACGTTCGACTTCTGAACGAGAGGGCCGATTCAAAAGAGCAGCAAACGGAGCCGGGCGATCAGTGGCCAGCAAGAAATCTAACCATTCCGACCGATTAAATTGCCTTCCAAAGTGCTCAGCTCAACGCTCCAAGCGCTTTGACAAGCTGTGGATAGGCTGTCTGCTAGAGAGGCGGGCCCAGCCAATGTCCGAATACGAGATCGAAAACGTGTGTGGGTTTCCTGTGGAGTACGTGAGTTGTCTGCTACATGTGAAAGCACGAGCACGGTACAAAGTCAAACTGTTCGGAAAGCAGGCACGAGTTTTTGGCCAACGAATACAAGCCAGTTCAGGCGAGAGTTTTGGCTAGCAAATACAAGTCAGCGCCAAAGGAGGCAGTGCATTCGGCCAAATATGGAAAAACCGTGGAACCAAAATCACTGACATTGGCTGAGAGCCAGGCGCATAGCTAGGTTTCCTAAAAATAGTACGTTTCGTTACCTAATAAATACGAGCGGTCTGTCGTGTAGAATATACTCCCTGTTACCGAGTCTTGGCCTTTTTTCTGTATCCCGTTGGTTGGCTGGTGCGGGACTGAACAGTCAGACGGTCGTAGCCTAGCAGGTTCCGTGTTAAGGAAACAGTACTACAACACTGTCCACTCTCGTCACAAATTGTTTCACTAACACCAGGCCTCCTGCTGCCCGTTTCCAGTATCAGACGGAATAACTTACGATGGTTACCAAGGGCAGCGGCCATTTCCATCTCGGATGCACGATGAGAGCACCAGGATTCGCGGTCTCTCTTCAGGCTAGCACGGAGTTTCGCCCGGAGCTCTTTGCGAGTTTCATTGTGTTCGCTTCTAGCCGGAATATACCGGCGAGCATCGATAAGTTCCAGAAGCTGCGAAGAGACCCAATATCCATGTTCGCGATTAGACATACCACATAAGGATTTTCTTGCTGCTAGTAATGTCTGGTGAATATGAGATCAGTGAGCTTCAATTGCATCCATTGAGTGTTTATCCAACTCGCATGACAGCGTACTTTGATAGGCATTCAGAACAGCTGGTTTCGCCAGTTGGCTAGTGTCAATGCACTCACAACGTCGTTGTGGGCGTCCGCCAAAACGCATCCGCAGGTCAGCACATACAAGTGCATAGTCGGTGTCTACACATGTGCTCCAAATCGAGCGACAGTTCTTGACGCAGCCTCTCCAGCGGTAACTGATAGCAATGTGATCGATTTGCGTCCATAGTTGGTTCGAAGATGGTGGGCGCCAAGTCACCCTCCGGCGGGTGCTGTGTCGGAAATTAGTGCTCGCAAGAAATAAGCGAGCATCTTCACACAAATGAAGTAACCGCTCACCGTTATCATTACAGGAGCCTATGCCATGTTGGCCGCCCAAATGCAGCTCATCAGTGGATAATTTTCCAACTTGAACGTCCAGATCCCCAGCCAGCACTACAGTGTCCGAGCTTCTTCTGTGGCGAAGGAGTTCGTTCAGTTGGCGATAGAAGTCGTCCTTCACCGAGTCATCGTTAGAGTCTGTCGGTGCATATGCAGCGATAAGGAATAGATACCTGTTAGTTCCCTGCGGCTTCGAAGCTTTGAACGAGCCAGTCACGGATTGCACACATCCGGCTACTGATTGGAATCCAATCAACCAGAGCAGCTTCAGCCCGGGGACTCAGGGCAATACCAACACCGGCTCGACCGGTGCTCGAAGCTGCATCGTCACCGGATAGGCACAATGAGAAAGTGCTGCCAGTGTCACCTGAAAGGGATCGCAGAGTGAGTATAGAGCTCGAGTCTTCCAGGCGGCTCTCCGATAAGCAGCGGATATCGATCGAGAGGGTCTCTAATGTTCGGGCAAGTGCTGCCTGTTGGCCGATCTGAAGCAATGTGCGAACATTGAGGCACGCCAATATGAAGGAGGATTGAGGGCTCCAAATGGAAATCGATGAACTGAGCTTGGCCGCTTGGTTGGCAATGGGCTTGTCGACAGGATAGGAATGACGCTCCGCGTTCACATGTGAGTTGAAACTAAAAGACAAGCGATTATGGAAGCGAGGTGGGAGAGGGCCACGAATTGGGGGTTTTAAAACAGGGTATAAAAGTGAAGCTGGAACGGGACGGTAAGAGAGAAAAAGCGTAAGAGGGGGAATAAGAAGATGGGAAGGCTTGAGCAGTAGCATCCAAACCCATATCCACCCTGCTCGATGCAGCAGATAGGGCACCGTTGATTATCCTCTGCGATGGCCAGAGTATCAAGAAACTGTTTGAAGATAAATTATTTTATTTCGTGGGCAGGATACTATCAGGTTGCCCAGGCCTAGACAGGAGAACGATTAGGGTTCTCAAGGAAAGCCCTTGGTTCAAAAACCAGACCGCAAGGCAGCGGGTTTGGCGTTGGGCTACAAGGAGTCCGTTTTAAGGAATAAGGAGCCACCTCATTCCAACCCCCAACCTGGAGGACCAGGAGGCTGAATTTGTCTGGCCTCTAACCATTTACCAATCTGGTGTGAGTGGCTCTAAAGGTGCAAAAACGCACCACCCAGCATATTTCAATGGATCACTGAGGCACACAAACCATCGCACCACGGTAAGGTCCAGCCTCATTGCAAAGACTGGTTGACGAAAGTTACTAACTAAGCTTAAAATATTCGACATAGGATAACAAGGCCAAAGATTTCTATTTCGCTATACGTGTGAAGAATATCGTGTGGCTGTGGAGAAATATGCGGGGTGTAGCTACGCAACGGTACTATCGACTGACAAGGCTAATCGCCAACAGTACGCATGGTCTGGGGGGTAAAATACGAGGGCCGTGGGCGGATTAAGTTGTACTGAATAAACCGTGGTTCTACAAGCATTTAAACCAAAGATACAGAGGTGGCTTACGAATAGTTGAGTAGACTCGCAAACGGATGTAAAAAAAATCCAGTTAAGTTCGAACAACGACGGTAATGGAGGCTCAGTAAACGCAACGCAGTAAAACAAAGGACTGGATACTTAGACTCTGGTTATGGTTAAAGGGCGGAAATGTTATATAAACAAAAGTGTATATAAATGAAAGCGAATGTCATCTAGTTCGTTCGGATAATGATCGGTTACAATACAAGGTCTGTCAATGTGCAAATTATCGTAAGATGGGTGCGTGGTGTGATGAAATGCTAATGAAAAGCGAACTACTCATAAATTATCAGTAAGGTCATTCAGCTTCGAGAATTGTAATACACATGGGGCATGGCAATTATGTAGAACT